TTTATATTTGAAAAAGAATCTGTCAACTCTATTTTAAACCTTTGGGGGCACAAATACACTCATCAATAGTTGTTGTTTGTTTTTTATATCAAGAGGTTTATAGCAGAAATGGGTACAAGGAATCCTCATCTCTGATCAACCAACCCTAGCAAGGAAGGTACATCAGCTAGTAACAATCGGGGTGCTTGATATTTTTTTTTTACCTCAGCTATGTGTCCTTGTAAACTTTAGATTGTTTTCTAGGGTTTTCCATCTTAAAAAGTATAATCAAAGCATCTGATCTAACCTCAAGTTATTTCAAAGCTTTGTTTCAGCTAATGATGCACATTGAAACCTGTGATGATGTCTTTCAGCATTAAGATTAAAGGGATTTGATCAAGATTGGCTCCTGGGACTCGATTGTTTTTCTTAATCATCTACGGCCCACACAGCTCCTTAGATAAAACTCCTAGGCCCTGGCTGTGTGACATTTCCTTGTGTTTATTTTTTATTCATCAAAACTATATAAGCTAACATTATTATTATCAATTAGATTAGACAGTACAGTTTAGGGAGGAATCATCTTCATGACAATCCACAGATAAAAGTTCCCAGTAGATTGGGATGTTTCCATCAGATAAACACACTACATTATAGGCAGTTGGGGGTCTTTCCACAGCCATTCAAACCATGCCAGATACGAGAGAAAGATGACAGCAGCAAACATGTAAAGGGGTGTCTCCTGCAAAATTTATCCAAATTAGAGCTGCCTCACATCATGAGACAAATGGTTTGAGCTCCCTCATCCAGGATTTTGAGTTCTGCACTCCCACCTTGCCTCTTCCCTTCTCTGTCTGTCTGTCTACTGCCTCTCATGTCTCCACTCTGAGATGGCCTTTCACTCTTCCACTTTCCATATCCCCCAGTAAACCTCTTGTACTAACCCTGTTGGTGCTGGTGTGTTCTCCTAGAGGCATACCTTGGCAGGGCCTGCCAAGAAGTATACACTTTGCATTTTACTCACTGGGCTCTTGGTAATAGCTCAGCTGTTACCATTGAAACTAGTTGCCTGGGCTCAGACTTTGCCTCTGGGCTTTCTGGCCACTGAATCTGATGTAATGGCAGAGATTCATATGTTATTTGCATATAAATAATAGTAAAGTTATTTTATGCCATTCTTTATGCCATTCTACTTTTTTTTTTTTTTTTTTTTTTTTTGGCCAAGGGAATTGGGTATGGTTAAAAATCTGTAACAAAAGTTAACTTAAAACTTGTAACTCCAAACTAGAACTGTTCTGGGAAACAACAGGTGGTTTGCCATCATTTTACAGCCACATGGGCAGTCACCATTTTGACTAAGCTTGCAGAAGTGGGATGGTATGTGACTAAACTGCCATCTTGATTAAGATGGAATGAGTCAACCAAAGAGGCAATAGGTCTCCAAGATATTTTAGATTAGGATAGATTTTTGTATGATAATTCTTTTGCTGTCCTAAAAACAAGGTTTATGAAAGACAGGATTTAAAACAATTCTGGTTTAATGAGGTATTAAACTGTACCTCCATGCATTCACATACAGGGCCATATCTTGCTGGCAGTCAGATTCTGTAATAAAAGAGTAATCCCCTTGGTATTGATTTTAGAGACACTGGATTGTTTACACTGTTGTAACATGGATTTTGCCTTCTACAAAGAATTGTTGTGCTCTGTCTTTATTCTTAAATAAAAATTCAGGACCACAGCCGAACACCAGAGATTGAGGTATTCCCAGCTCATGATGCAGCAAGACCATGACCTAAGCAGTCTGGCAAAAGGTCTCTCTTTACCTAGGGTCTGTTCAGGCTAACAGAGACTGATCGAAGAATGTATGTCTAACCTCCTTGCTTTTACTTACATTGCTAAGCTGTAGCTAGTTTGGTAAACTAAATCATACATATAACCAGGTACCATAAAAGGATCAGGAAAGATTCCAGTCTCTTTGTGGACTGCGTTTATGAGTTAAAAATCTTATCTTGCTATTAAAAGAGCTTCCCTTCAGAAATTGTTATTTTTTAAGGCTAACTTTAACAATGAAACCTTAATCATATAAGACATACAAGTTAAATGTCAGACACCTAGTACAGGATCAACTTCTTTGAGAACATATATATATATATGTTCTCAAAGCTAAGCCTAAAACAAGTAACTAACAGCAAACAACATTACTAACTGGACACACCTGATTCCAAGGATGAAAAGTGAACAGTTCAGATCCAGAGTCTGAGGCTATTAATGGCAACAGTTCAGTTAAAAAGTGCAGAGAAATCAGAATGATATGTCATAATGGGAACCGAGTAAGACATCAGTCAGGATCTTCCCTTTTGGTAGCTTATCAGGGGAACCGGCCCACACAGTAAGACTAAGACACAATTAGGAAACAGTGCAGTGTTCTTGCTACATCATTCCCCTTGAAAAATCCTCTTGTATTGTTCTGGAGTGTCTGCTCCCCAGAGGATGTCCTTTCCCAAGGCCAGGCATTTGGATAAGGACCTCTAGTCCTCAGGGGCTCGAGGAAAGTTCCTGCTTGGTTAAAGGAACTGGTGGACTTCCCCTTGATGTAAAAGGGTGCCTGATGTAGTTACTGAACTTTGGAGAACAATAGGCATTTAGACATTTGCCAATGTATCACTTTTGTCTTGGGAAAAATGCTGTGATAAAGTTGATGGCCACTTTCATCCCTGAATCATTCATTGTGGCTTTCAAACTTGTGGCTAAACAATTTACAAGTATAGGTACAAAAGGTGTAGCCTTTTGTCAATAAAATGGTAGCCATCCCAATTCACCCTCAAATCTTGTCAGTCTCCTTCCTCCTCACCAACTCTATACCTCCTCTTTGGGACCTGAACCCCACTGGTGCTGGATTCCAGCCTGACTCCATTGACATATTTCTTGCAGTTACATATATATATATATATATATATACATATATATATATATATATATTTGTCCTTGTTATTTCTTTTGAGGAAGTATTAATAGTGGAACCATTGATACTCTATCCTCAAAAAAATATTTGTTGAATTCAGACCCAAGCTTTTTTTTAACCTTCTGTTTCTCATTGTTTGCTCATCCTCTCCAAACTTCTTTTACAGCTTAATCACAAGCGGCAATAATCATTCTTTGTAACTAGCCTCATGCTTATTAGTGTTTTTAGTGATAAATGAATATGTGTTGGCGTATTTACAACATTTAGAACATACTAGCCACTGTTGATGCAAAAACCACATCCCTCATTGTCTTAGTCAGTCTTCTATTGTTGTGAAGCAACACCATGGCAACGGCATTTAACTGGGGCTTGCTTACAGTTTCAGAGTTTAGTGCATTATCATCATGGCAGTTAGCATGGCAGCATGTAGACAGACATGGTGCTGGAGAAGTAAATGTGAGTTCTACATCTGGATCTGTATAGGAAGGCAGTAGGAAAAGAAAGCCACTAGGTCTGGGCTTAGGCTTTTGAAATCTCAAAACACAACCCCAGTTACAGACTTCCTCCAACAAGGCCACATATACCCCAACAAGGTCACACCTCTTAATCCTTTTCAAGTAGTGCTTAGTAATTAAGCATTCACATATACAAGCCTAGGGGGGCCATTCTTATCCAATCCACCACACTAATCTTAAAGGGAATAGTTTATTCTGGAGTCACTTTGAGTGGCCATGGCCTGAGGAACACAAATTTAGGTTACCCCAAATTCCATGTTCCAATGTGGAAATAGTTTCATAGTTTTACAGAACAAAGAAAGACATAAATCAAAGTAAGCTTATAATACTTGGTGAGTACATCAGAAGAGCAGTAAAAATGAGATGGGGGAAGCTTTTCTATAACCAAGAAAATATGACATTCAGTTTTTGGGTTGGTAGAAGTTTTTACTACTACTACTACTACTATATTCTTTTACACACACGTACATTTATATGAGTCACCCCAACAACTGAGAGCATCCAGTGATGTTCTCAAGTCCCTGCATGAGAGAATAGCAAAATGGGGCTTATCCAAATGCTGGTAGCAAATGTGCATGGTTGGTGGATAGGAGTAATTAAGTTTGTGTGTTCCTGTAGTTCTCTTTTTTGACAGTATGCTGAGCACAGAGGAACAGCCTTTAGGGCAGAGCTATGGGGACTTCTGGGTTTCACTTTAAGATGCATGAGAAGCATATCAGCCAATTATGAGATGATGCTAAAGGAAGGTGGGACTGGGGTCTTGGTGACACCTCTGAGGGCCCTGAAAAAATGAGGGGTCAGCAGGTATAGAAAACAAAACATTGAAGGGGGGACATTTGACTATTTAGACACACGGTGGGGGCAGTGAAGGCTCCATCAGCCGTTCACTTGCTATTAAAAACAGAGCCAAGATATTGAGGAACAGACAACAGAGGGTCTGAGGAAGCCTGGGTCGCAATGATTTGGGTGGTTAGGGGAAGGCGGAACTTTCGTTCTCAGCTCCCTGTTTCCCCGCTACGCCCCTTCTGCAGCTACACCACCTAAAGGACCGCCTCCTTCCCCTTCCCCGGGGTCCTATCCGGATGAGTTCCTGAGTTTGTGACTCCGAATTATCCCCAAACCACGAGCAAACTCCTCCATAACTGAGGCCGGTCTCTCCAACCCTCACCGCGCCCGCCACAACCCGCGACTGCAGTCGGGGGAGGGCACAGGCTCGCAGGCGGGGCGGCGTAGCCACGGGCGCGTGCCCCGGAGCGCGTCCCGCCGAGCTCGCGCCCCGCGCTTCCCCACCTAGCTGCGGTGGCAGTGGCCCGCCGCGCGCCGCCGGCTTCCCCTCACTTCCCAGCCGAGCGGCCTCCAGACCCCCGCGCCGTTGGAGCGACCCGGGCGAGGCCAGGCGCTCGGTCCGAGCGAGAGAAGCCGGAGGAGGACGGGGCGGCCCGGGAAGAGCCGCCGGGCTTTGCAGAGGCGGCCCTACGCCCCCGGGTAGGCGAAGTGGCAGTCACCTGAGAAAGCCTCACAGCTAGTGGTGTCCCACTTCTGCCCGGGCTTTGCACCCGGACTAGTGGTCCAGGCCCCGGAGTCGGCGTCACACCGGTGAGGACAACTCATCGAGAGAGTGGACATGGCCACACCGTTTCTACCCGCGGGGGCCACCACGGGCGACAGTGGTGGGGAACTGAGCTCCGGGGACGACTCCGGTGATATGGAATCCCCCCAGAACCCCGAGACCGAGGCGTCCCGGAGCCTGGCCGAGCAGTTTGAGAAGGCTGCCGCACACGTCCAAGGCCTGATTCAGGTGGCCAGCAGGGAGCAGCTCTTGTACCTGTATGCCAGGTACAAGCAGGTAAAAGATGGGTGGATAAGTCAGGGCATGGGCGTCTTGCTCCGAAAACTTAGAGGTGTGCGGGCTAATGGTGGAGTATAATGAAGTGTGTGTATGTTTCGTTTTGTTTGTGTTTTGACGCTAGAGAATAACATCATTCCGGACGTGGAAAAATCTCCTGGCTATCCTACGAATGATAATTATTTGACTGGACACTGACACTATTTCTGTTCTCTCATTAGTGGCCTTGCGCCTAAACCTTTACAAAAAGAGGATGATAAAATTTGTCATTCGTTGTTGCCAAAAGAAAAATATGGCAATGTTAATAATAAAATTTGAGATTTAAGAGACAATTACTATATATAAAACACACAATACACTATTACTCTTGCGATTTTTAGAAACTAAATATAGTTGACATGCTTTTGGCTGAATTTGGTTCTGTTAGATCGTCCCCCCCCCCCCCACCTCTTTTGGAAAAGGTTTCATGTTGGCAATGAGGGGGGTGGGAGATAAACTCTTGACTCAGCTTCCAGAATCACTTTCTTTTACAAATACACAACAAAAAACCTCAGGAAGTAGGCAACTCGGAAGGTCACATGGGTGTATCAGAATTAAAGTAGTTTCTGACTTGTAAGACTGAACTTTACCTAAAGATAAGGAAATGTATGAGTTACATATGTAAAACTAATTTATCATTCAAGGCTAGGTACCAGAAGGAAAAAAATAATTGCTTTATCACAGTTAACAGATACAGTTCAGCAGAACACTAGATGTCATGTCTACAGAGAATGCAAAGATGAAAGAACTTGACACTGCCCTTTAGAGGCTTACAGGATAACTTAAGGAATCTAGATGGAAATGTGAAAAATTGATGATGACTTAAATAGCAGCTCAGGAATACCCCAGCTTTTTGAAATTTGAAAGAAATGAAGCTCTGGATAGTAGCCTCTTTTATTAGAATTTTAAAAATGCCTCTTGGTATAGTTACATATATTTCTCTTGAATTCCCTTTTTTTTTTTTTTTTTTTTTAGGTAGGTGTGAGGACCCTCCTGTATTTCTGATTACGTTTTTGTTTTTCATGTGTGTACACATGTGTGACAGTGTTCAAGTGGAGATCAGAGGACAACCTGCAGGGCTTGGCTCTCTCCTTTCATCATAGGGACCCCAGGGATCCAACTTAGGTCATCAGGCATGGTGACAAGCACCTTTACATCTGTTCTGTATTTTTAAAGATACACTGAATGGAGTGGACATGCTTTTGAGGAGTGGTGATTATAATGAACACATGCTAATAATGATGTGGCCCGAGAGAGATTGCTCTACAAGTCTTGTTCAGCATTTTGCATGGTGCCTCATGTGATTGTGCAGGCCTCTAATCCCAGTGCTTTGGGGAGGTAAAGTCTGATCAATGTGTGTTCAAGACCAGCCTGGCCAACACTTTAAGTTCCTAGGTCAGCCAGAGCTACACAGTGAGACTCCATCTCAAAACAAACAACAGTTGTAAGATGGGAGAAACACACAAGCACTTCTGTTACATACCTGATTATATTGGCAATTTTGAGGAAACTGGAGAAAAATCACAGCAATAATTGAGTTACAAACTGAACTATGAGCTTTTTCCAATGGGACTTCATTTTTACTTATCAAAAGCTATATAAACTCAATTCTGTTTAGATTTGGGTGATTGGCAAATAGTTTCTTGAAAATGGAAGAAGTGAGCCTGGAAAACAGCTATAAATATTTGTTGCCAGTGATCAGATTTGAGTTGTCAAATGAAAAGTAGAAGTTTGGAAAAAGTAGGGTCTGCCACCATGAATTAGACAATACTCCAATGCTTACAAAGTGCTTTTCACAATATGGTGGCAATAATGAATGTGAAATTCACTAATGTGTAATGCTATATGTCAACATTTGGAAATGCAGAATGACTCAATGGGATCTTTTCTAAATATTTCACGGGATAATGTTAAAAGTCAGTGTGAGCAAAAGTTCCAATCAAAATGAAAATCAGATGACTGATTTTCACTATAACTGTGTAAAAGAGTCATAGTAAATTCAGATTCCACATCATATCTAATCTTGGAGAAACTACCATTTGTTGAGTTTTGTGTCAAAGAATATCCACAGTTTGTGAGAGTGTTATACAAATACTAATTTCTTACAGTATATCTGCGTGAAACTGAAACTGCTTCATGGGCTCCATCCAAACCATCATTTAGTGAGAGATTGGATGCAGAAGTATGACAATACAAGTATGTCAGACAGTGAAGAGATTTCAAAAAAATGCCAGAGCCATTTTTCTTTTTCTTTTTTTAATTTAGAATATAGTAATTTTTCATGAAAATTTACATTACCATGTACTAGACTTATTTTCAAATAAATGAATGTTTAAAAGATCTAATTTATTATTTTTTCTTGTGTCTGTATTTGTGTGTGTGTGTGTGTGTATAGAGGCTGGTGATTGATGATGAGTTGATATCTTCCTCAATTGCTCTCTACCATATTCATTGAGGCAGTTGATGTCATTGAACTCAGTAGCTGACATAGCTAGTCTGGGTAGTCAGCCAGTCAGCCAGTTTGCACCTCTAAAATCATATCAGTTGCTGTACTCTGCTACATATACAACAGGACAGGACATGCAATTTCTGCCTACTCCTAGGACTGGATGTTTATAAATATTATAATAAAATATTTTGCTTAAAAAACAAAGGGGTTAGGGTGCTGGAGAGCTAGCCCAGTGTTTACGAGTACCTGTCACTCTTGATTAAGATCTGGGTTCAATTCCCAGGACCCACTGGTGGCAGCTTACTCCTGTCTGTATCTCCCATTTCTAGTAGATCTGATGAGTTCTTCCAGACTTGGTAGGCACCAGACATACCTACTCATACAGAAATGTTGTAGGAGGTGAGGAGTTAGAGCAACCAATGAGATAGCTCAGTGTGTAAAAGCACTTGCCCAGTAGGCTGGACAACCTGAATTCAATCTTTGGAACCCATGGCAGAGGGAGAAAACTGACCTGAAAGCTGTCCTCTGACTTCTATATACATTGTGGCTTGCAAGTGGTCCCAAGCATGTGTGTGCACACACACTCACACAAAATAAATAAAATTAAACAGTTGAAAACTAAAAGGCTCTTCCTTCTCCTGCTTTGCCTGAGCTAGAACATGCATCCTGATTTTGAGCTTCTGGGCCTGAAAGCAGAACTTGAAACAGGAGTTCTCTAACTCTGTGGTTATGTGATTCCTGTGATTGCTTTTGCCTCTTAGAATTAAAGTCTCCAAAGAACTTTAGTATGTGTAGATTTTGTCTGTCATATATATAGATTAGAAATTTAGATCTTGGCTGGGTGGTGGTGCACATACACCTTTAATCCTAGCACTCTGGATTAACCCCAGCTTTGAGAGGTAGGGAGTTAAAGAGTTAAAACAACAACAGGAATATTGACCATATAGATAAGCATTTATATTATTGTTGACACCCTAACCCCCAGCCTTTTTTTGTTTTGTTTTTTGTTTTTTAGAGACAGGGTTCTCGGTATTGTTTTGGATCCTACCTGGAACTAGCTCTGTAAACCAGTCTGGCCTCGAACTCACAGAGATCCTCCTGTCTCGCCTCCCAAGTGCTAGGACAAAAGGCCTGTGCCACCAACACCAGCTTTTGACATCTACATTTATTTACTGTGGTGCTTTTTTATTTAGGTTCTTGTTTTGAGACAGTGTTTCACTGGGTAGTCCTGGCTGTCTTGGAACTCACTCTGTAGCCCAGGCTGACCTTGACTTCATAGATTGCTGGGATTAAAGGCATGCACCACCATGCTCGGCTAATATGGTGCTTTTAAAATAGTACATTTTTAGTACGATTTATCTTGGATTTGAGGAAAAATAAAATACTAGCAAGTCGTGAAAATGAACATGGAAAAAAAACAATATATATGAATTCTGAAAAATCAAACTTTAGATTTTGTTAATTCCTGGTGAATGATTATGCATGTAAAGCACATGCTGTCTAAGCCAGAAAGAAAACCTACACAACAGCAGTCCTCTGACCTCCCCTGAATGCACACATCACACACAGTAATAAATTAACACGTAAAAAATTGTATTTTTGGTGGGGGTGGAGTTCACGACGTAGCCTTGGTTGGCCTTGAACTCAGAGAGATCCGCCTGCCTCTGCTTCTGGAGTGCTAACTGGAGATGCAAGCAACCACTGCCCAGCATACTATAATTTTATCTGTAACTTGTTTTTATAATTAGTCTGCTAGTTTAGAAACACTGCTACTTGCCATCCACTTCATTCCTTTTTTCTTTTTTTTTGGCCTGTGTTACAGTATTACTTAGTAGTTACTTTATATAGAAAGCCGGGGCTGCTTATGTGGTGTTTTCATTTAATTAATTAGTTAATTTAGACAAGAGTCTCACTGTGTAGCCCTGCCTGATCTGGAGTACATTGTATAGACTAGGAGGGCCCTGAACTCATAGAGAGCTTTGAATGCACAGAGATCCACCTGCCCCTGCTCAAGGTGTGCATTACCACACCTGGTGCTGCTGGTGTTTTCAGTTTGGATTCTTTGAATTTTTTTGTCTGCTTTGCAGAGAATGTTAAATTTTGTTTTATATATATATTCAAATATTTTCTAATCTATAGTTACTAGATATACTAGTATATATAGTATACTAGATATACATAATAAATTAAAAAATAAAAAGTCCTTAGATATTTCTTAGAAAACCAAAATAAATTCTTGTTATTTTTTTCCTTTTCCTCTTTTAGGTCAAAGTTGGAAACTGCAGTATTCCTAAACCGAGCTTCTTTGATTTTGAAGGAAAGCAAAAATGGTAAGAAACATCCTTGGGATCTTTAGTAAGGTTGTCGGAAATGACTTAGGGGTTTAGGAATTAGAAAGGGAATAGCAGATTAAATATTCTTTGTATGTTAATCTCTCTGTGGTTGGCTGCTAGTGACAGGCAGTGGGAGGATTAAAGCAATCTGCTTTTAGCTAAGTCTAAAGGAGTCTTTGTCACTGGCATTAGTATGTAGGTAGGCAGAGCAGAGGTGCAGTCCTGTGAGAGAGCCTTTCTCTAGGGAACCACTTCTCACATACAGAAGGAAGGGATAAATCCCCACCTCCTACCTGTCTCTGCCCCACAGGAAAGAAGTGCTTGTCATAATTTTTTGGAAAGAATTGTGGAGAAAAAAATCTAAAACCTGACACAGGCTCACTCTATTCTGAATACATTTTTCACCTATAATTCAAAGATTCATTATTTTTTCTTACCTGGCTTTAAGCGGAAAAAGAGAAAGTATTAAACAATAGTGAACATGGTTACAAAAGGGAAGACTTTTGTGCATCAGCCCCAGTGGTAAAATTAGTGTTGAGGGTAGAGTTATTTATTGCTTTGTGATCAGTATGTTAAGGAGACATTCCTACATTTTAGTTTTGCTGCAATGTTGATACCCAGATTTAAGCATGTGAACATGACTGTAAATATACAGTTAAAGCTCTCCACCCTAATTTGGTATACTAACCACAGTCCTTTGGAGTCTAAGTCACGTGGTTTCAATCAGGCTTATAACATAACCGAGGAACACCTTCCTGTATTTATGCTAATTACTTCTTGTATTAAAGGTCTTTTAGGCTAGAGTTCTCTGTTGTTGTTTTATTTGTTTTTAGATTTATTGTTTTCATTTGCATGGATGAGGTGCCCACTGAAATTAGAAGAGGCTTTTGGAGCCCTTGGAACTGAAGTTACAGATGGTTGTGAGCTGCCATGTTGGTGCTGTCTGGGAACTGAATCTTGGTTCTCTACAAAGGCACCAAGTGCTATTAACCATCCAGTCCCACCCAGGGTAGATTTTTTTTTTTAAAAATAATTAAATATATAAAGAGAGAATTAAATGTAGAGAGAGAGAAAAATGCTAACCCTTGGATTTGGGTATAAATCCTAACATTTCCCTGCACCAAATGTCCTCTGGACAGTAGTCCAACTGCCAGCATTCCGCTGTGAGGAGGGGGCGCTTGAACCTGGATGCCAGTCACTTACGCTGCCGCCACACTCTTGAGTTCAGATGGCCTTCTCTTTTTTCATCTTCAGTGCTTCCTTTTACATTTGTTACACATTTTCTCTGTTGAGATAAGCAGTTTCTGGAATTTTAGTATCTAGAGAATGTCAAATGTAGCTTTTCCTCTGAGCTTTTTTGTCTTGTGGAATTTTATCACTTCATTACTTTCCCTTATTTATTGCTCGGTTCTCCATGTTTTCAGCCCTCCAAAGTATATTTTATAGCCACTCTGACTAATTAGTGAAGCAGAAAACTGTGAGATAGTGCCATTACCCACTTATCAGTATAGTAGCTGTGGGACAGACTGACATCATGTGTCCTTACTGTGACCCATTGTAAAGGACATGCCACTTATATATTATTCTTACCTAAATATTTAATCTAATTTTAATCGTGATTAGTCATTCTGACAAGAACACTATTTAGGTGAGAAAAAAAATTAGGCAAACCCAAGCAGAGCGGTATTTTGTAAAATAATTGTTTTTGACTCTTAAAAATGCCACCATGTGAAAGAGAAAGAGGAGTGAAAGGAGTGCTGTGTGTGAGGCTGGAAAAACAGCTACACAGGGCATTGTTGTGGCAACCAAGGGAATCCGAAGAGATTGCTTCCATGCTATAGAGTAAGCAACTGTCAGAGCGTCACTGAAAATTTTAGAAAGCCTCAGCAAGACCCTGCTTCCTTCATAGTAGCAGGAGGGTAGTGACATTATAGAAACCTGCTTAAAAGTGGGAAGACTTGGCTGGGGTAAACCAAGCAGCCTGTCCCAGTAGCCTTAACAGTTAATTTGTATGATGGGAAGTACCATACTGGTCTATAACTGATACAGTAGTGATGAACACTGGATTTAGGGAGCCTAATTAAATCTTAGATTACTATAATTTGTGCTATTTCAAAATTCAACAGGTAGGCAAAGACATCTGTGTTCTAAAATTTCATGAGAGAAAGCAGTTGGGGGAAAAATTTCCAAAAGGTCCTTGAGGTAGGTTAATGAATTTTATCCTTGTCTACTAGTGTAAGAGCATGAGTGGAACACTTCCCCTCTGTACAGTTTATCTTTGTATCCTCAGTCCCTTGAATCATATAAGTGTAAAATATCAGTAAGAAATATGCTAGCTGGATGTGATGTGTGAGTTTAAGGTCAGCCTGGGCCACATAGCAAGATCCTGTTTAGGAAATGTGCTGTTGGTGTTTTGCATCATTAATGAAAATTGTGGCTACTCTGTGCTGTAGGGAAGCATGGAAAGCCCTTGGTGACTCCAGCCCTAGCCAAGCAATGCAGGAATACATCGCAGCAGTTAAAAAACTAGATCCAGGATGGAATCCTCAGGTAAGACTTACTAAGTGTATGTAATACTTTCTGAAAACTCACCTTTCTCCCAAATGTCTAACTGAGCTTTGGCTAAGGTAACATAGTCAAAGGACTATGAGGTAATAGTAATATTTATCTGTGAAAATGACTACTTAAATATTAATATGACCAGCAGCTGATGCAGAGACCTCCTTGGAGTAGTAGAGAACTTTTAAAGTTTAATTTAATCTTGTAAGAACAGAATTTCTTTCAATTAGATTAAATTTATCTTATTTTATATGTATGCATGTTTTGCTTGCATGTATGTATGCCAAAGAGGGTGCCAGTTTCCTTAGAAATAGTTATAGTTGATTGTGAGCCACCAGTGGCTGCTGGGAACCAACTCTTCTTTGATGGTTTTGTTGAGCATTTACTGTGCAAGTTTGAGATACTTGTTGATAGAAATACAAGAAAAATACACAATTATTTCTTCCATTATATAGGTTAAAGCATGATAAGGACAATAAAACGCATTAAGATTTATGTTCAATAATATATAAGTTCTAGAGAATGGCATGAGAAAAAAAATGACTGCAGATGTTAGGGGCATTGGGTAATGTTCACATACATGAACCCTGCTTTTCTAGGGCAATTATGGAGAATTCTTCAAAGGTCTTTAGTACAGATGGGTTGTTTATTTTGTTTTAAAATATTTTAAAAACCATCTAAAAATATTATTGTGTGTGTGTTTGTACCATGTGCCTTTGGAAGTCAGAAGATAACTTGCAAGGGGTTGTGTTTTCCCTTTACCATGCGGCTCTCAAGGAACTGAAGTCAGGTAGTCAGGCTTGGCAGCAAGAGTCTTTACCCACTAATCCATCTTGATGACCCTTGAAATACATTCTTAAAGATCTTACTTTAATGTGTATGTGTGAGTACTTGCATGTATGTATGTGCACCATGTACGTGTCTGTTGCCCACAGAATGCAGAAGAAGGCATTTAACCCCCTGGTGTTGAAATTAGGGGTGGTTATTAGCTGCAGTGTGGATACTGGGAACTGAGCCTAGTTCCTTAGAACAGCTACACTTATTAAGTGCTGAGTTTTCTCTCCATCCCCTTTTAAAGTATTAAAAAGAAAAACAAAAACAAAAAATGGTATATAGGAGAGAGCTTGTGTCATAATGGTTACAAATAGAGATAATTTTTAATTTTGTTTTGCTTTTGAGGTAGTCTTACTAACTCTGGCTGATCTCAAACTCATAGAGATCCACTTGTCTCTGTTGCCTGAGTGCTGAGACCAAAGGCATGCACCACCACTCTTGGTAGTCCTAATATATGGGGCAAACTTTTTGGAGTGAGTGAATTAAATATGTGAAAGTGTTTTGTAGTAGCTTTTTCATGGGCACATAAGTTGTTACCAGTATGGAAAAGATTTGTCACATCAGTCACGGAGTCTAAAGAGTTGTTAGGAACCTTAAAATGTGTGTGTGTTGACATATTAAAGTGGATCTTAAGAGTCCAAAGACTAAGAGATGGCCAGCAAAACAGCTTCACTTTTGTAAAGTAGCAGTATGCATATTTCACAAATGTCCTCAGGGCTCCAGATCTGAGGTTCAGTGGTCAGATAGATGCCTCCTGAACTGAGCTCAGCCTGTATTTCTAAGTCTTGGAACTGTGACCTTGGTGCTTTCCTGCTGGTTTACAGTTGACTACTTCTGTCTAGTTCATGGCCTTTCAAGACATTTGGGTCTATAAATTCTAGTGTATGATTGGATTTGTGATTCTTTTTTTTAACCTTCAGTACCTTACTTATGTAGTAAATTTCTAATATGACTCACAGGTTTTTTTTCTTATGAAGTCTTTATTTAATAATAAAATGTCCTATCATCTTAGAATAATTATTACATTTTGCTATTTTTGTTGTTGTTGATGGGATCACATATAAATCCTTTAATGCATTATTCTAAAAGTATTTTTAATATTGCCAGGCAGTGGTGGTGCACACCTTTAGTCCTAGCACTTGAGAAGCAGAGGCAAGCAGATCTCTGAGTTCAAGGCCATCCTGATTTATACAGTGAGTTCCAGGGCAGCCAGGGCTACACAGAGAAACCCTGTTGTAGTTTTTTTGTTTGTTTGTTTGTTTTAAATTTTGGGGGACAGCCACCAAGCTCCTAAATAAATAGATGGAGACTTATTCTTACTTACGAATGCCTAACCTTAGCTTAGCTTGTTTCTAGCCAACTTTTCCTAACTTAAATTACCTTTTGCCTCTGGGCTTTTACCTTTCTCTGTTCTGTACACCTTTCTTTCCTTCTGACACCACAGCTGGCTGTGTGGCTAAGTTGCTGCCCCCTGGTGTCCTCCTCTCCTCCTTTTTTTGTTTCAGTCTCTTCTCTCTTCCATTTATTCTCTCTGCCTGCCAGCCCTGCCTATCCTCTTCTGCCTTGCTATTGGCCATTCAGCTCATTATTAGACCAATCAGGTGCTTAGGCCGGCAAAGTTACACAGCTTCACAGAGTTAAACTAATGCAACATAAAAGAATGCAGCACATCTTTGCATCATTAAACCAATATCCCACAAACAAATGTAACACATCTTAAAATAATATTTCACAACACCCTGTCTTGAAAAAACAAACAAACAAAACAAAACAAACAAAGTTAACATCAAAATCTTGTAAAGACAGCTAGGCAGAGACAGAGCCAGGTAGATTTCAGCCTAGTCTACATAAAGGATTTCAGGACAGCCAAACTACATACTGAGACCTGGTCTCAGAAAACTGAAACAAAACAAAGGCAAACAACAACAGCAAAAACTGCCATTTTGTAAAGAGGAATTTTTCATTTCATATACGTGTGTACGTGTGTGTGCAGTTGTGTGTTGTTTACATTTCAATTTTTAGTTTACACACTCTGGACTGATCCTTTTTGACTTTATTTTTCTTCTTTGCTTTTGGATTGGTAAGAGATAATATAATAACCTTGATATCAGGCGGGCTTTGACATTTAGATTTGACATTAATCATTTAGAATAAAAAGAGTGATTTTCATGGACTAGAGATGAGCACTTGCTTAGCAATTCTGAAGTCCTAGTTCAAGTCCCAGCACCAAGAACAAAAAAGAGTTAGATATATTAGGTACTAGACTTACGTTTTCCAGCTTAGGACAACTCTATTGTAAACTCCATTATACCTTCACCCTAGGACTAGATATGTAGGTCATTTTGTTCTCGATTTTCCTTTTCTTAGAGCACACTTGTTATTTACTGTTTTGTATATAGTTTTGTATTAAGCCTAAATCTTTTCTTTAGACTAAAAGGGGAATTGTAGTGAGATAGTCCTTCTGTGGCACTGACCACGCCCATTGGGGGTGGAGCCATGGGCGGAAGTGACCTGTGGAAAGAGGTTGGAGGGAGAGCTGGGAAAAGCTCTCTTGCTGGTGTGACTCGGACAGGAGAGCATCGGGTTGAATTTCCTGGTGTTCATCTGTCTAGGTTGTAAGTATTTCTCCCTGAATAAACATCTATTCGGCCTATTTGTTTATCCTGATCCTTATTTAACCTTGATAAGAAGGAGCTTCTGAGTACTCTGTATCTAGATTTACCAGCTATGTTTGCTTTGTCATTCTGTTTACACATTCACACACACACACACACACACACACATATATGTATCATACATATTTTGTATATTTTGTTCTAAATTGGTTGAGATAAATTGGAGATATCATGTTCATTACCCTAAATACTTGAGTACTTATATATACATTTTTCCTGATAAAATTTCACCTACTAGTTTTAAACATTAAGTATTTTTCTAACTTCATTGTTTGTTCTATTTTTATTATTTGACATTAAACTGTATGAAGGTATCCTGGTTACTTTTACGCTGTCTTGGCACAGCTAGAGTTTTTAGAGAGGAGGGAACATCAGTTGATAAAATCCCTCCATAAGATGGGCTGTAAGCAAGCCTGTGGGGACATTTTCTTAATTAGTTTAGATTGATATGGGAGGGCCCAGCCCAAGGTGGGTGGTCCTGGATGTTATAAGAAAGCAGGCTGAACAAATAATGTGAGCAAGCCAGTAAGCAGCACCCCTCCATGGCCTCTGCATCAGCTCCTGCTCCAGGTTCCTGCCCTGCTTGAGTCCTTATCCTGACTTCCTTCAGTGATGAACTGTGATGTGGAAGCATAAAGCCAAATATGATCTTTTCTTCCAAGTTGGTGATGATGTTTTATCACAGCGATTGTAATCCTAAGACGTAAGCAGCTTTCATTTCTCAATTTCTCCATCCGCCCATCTATCTGTTAAGAAAAGAAATGTGAAATGTCTGAGATTTTGCCCTGTTTGCAAGCTAAGTTAGCCTTTTCTGTTTCTTAAACGTTGACAGAAGGATTCTGGCTCCTAGGTTAGAGCCCAAAGACTCAATATTCATGGCTTGGCAAACTGCATGAGTTTCATTTGGTTTGCATCAATTTCCCACATCTCCTGGTTCCATCACCACAGTCCCACAGGGAAGACACACTTGAAGTTAGTTGGATTTCTACATATGTAGTGTGTTGTGCTAGAGGGAAAAAAAGAGCACTGAGCTATGGGAATTCACAACTTATAGCAAGCCAGGGGCCAGAGAGATGTTACTGCACTCCCAAAGGTGTCTTGCTGGTCACAGTTCTGAGAATGGCCTGCATTGGGAGTGCTAAGGGCCTGATCAATTGAGCAAGAGTGTATAGTGATTTTCAGCACCCATGGTTTATTGCCTTTTCCAACATTCCTGTGTTTATATTATATAGATTTAACGGATTTCTGTTTAATCATGCAGCATAATCTATTGAAATAATTTGTCTACTGAAAGAATCTTCAAACTAATGCCCATGTCCTTTTCATATGCTTGTTCCAAGCTCTATTAGTTTTTTCATGCTGCTGTAACAAAGTGCCACAATTGCTTAAAACAAGAGAAATTTATTTTCTCAGTCTGTTGAGTTGACGTCTGAAAGAAGGAGTTAGCATCTATAGGGAAGCATCATTTCTCCTTCATCTTCT